GTGGGCTCGATGGGTGCCAGGGAGCTGGGTGCAAGGGAGCCTGGGAAGGTTTGCATGGACAAATGATGCAATGTCTCTTCCTGCAAAATGTCCCTCCCCATGGGAGCCAGCCCCTCCTGCCCCTGGGATGCCGGCCCCTGTGTCCCCAAGCCATCCTTTGTGGCCCCGCCAGGGCCCTGCGAGGTGAACCCTGCTGGCAGAGGTTCAGAACTCGCCTGCTTGGAGCCGATCGTCCTAGACATTGCGAGCCACGGAGGCTAGGCCGGCCGCAAGTGCGTGGTGTGCTGGCCTGGGGGACAGCGTCCGCAGGTGCCCGGCGAGGGGGAAGAAGGGAGGGAAGGGGTCCCCTCCCCTGCGGGCCGTGTCCCGGTGCACCTCTCCCGGGGGCTGCCTACACCTGTCCACTTCCCCCGGGGCGTGTCCCTGTCTGCCTTCCCTGGGGGCCGCCGGCAGGGGACAGATGTTCCAGGCTTTGTTCCAGCAGACATGGGCGTCCTGCATGGGGGCCCGAGGGTGGCAAGTCCCCTCCCCAGCGCCTGCCTGGAGCTGCTGGCAGCCCGCTGGCTATTCAGTTCCTTCCTGGCCCAGGTTGTGTCCAGAACATTCCTGGCACCGAGCTGGCATCCTCCCTGGGACAGACGCGGCCGGTGGAGCCGCGGCGCGCCAGGGTGTCCCTGCGGCACTTCGGTGCCCAGCCTGCTTACCCAACCCCCGCCAGTGCCCGCTGAATCGTCTGGCCTCGGTTTGCTCTTGTGGGCGTCATCAGAGGCCTTGGCCCGGCTCAAAGCTCGTGGCAGCCTCCAAGGAGGAAGGGTCGGGGCTGGGACGCGGCCTGAGGGACGGAAGACGGTGCTGGCCGCCAGACCCGGCACCCGGGCGTGTCTGACTCCAAAGCTGCTCGCGGGCTGCAGTGGGGGCGCACAGGGCTGCAGAGGGCGCCTCCCCCCCTCCCAGGACAGACACACCCCTACTCCACTGCCCCTGCCTGCCACCTGCGCTGGCCCTGCAGGGACCCCATGCCCGGTTGAGGTAAGCAGGTGTGGACAGCCATCAGGTGGGGTGAGCAGGGACACAGCCCCCCAGGTGAAAGGGGCCAGTGTAGACGGCCCTCTGTGGTAGTGGGCAGGGGTGTGCCCCCCAGGGGAGCGGGGCAGGGGCAGAGAGCATGTATCACAAGGATGATCTGGTGGCATAGTCACCTAGCCAAGTAGCCCCTCAGAAAGGGCTTCACGAAGACGAACCACCCAGAAGGGACCAGAAAGATGGAAAAGGAGCCACCAGGTTGTGGCTCTGCCCAGAATGGAGGGCCTCACCCTCACCATGAGAAAATATCGATGGGGCTCCAGGCACAGTGGCCCGCGCCTGCTATCCCAGCGCTTCGAGAGCCCAAGGCAGGAGGATCACTTGAAGCCAGGAGTTCGAGGCCAGCCTGGGCAACATAGCAAGACCCCATCTCTTGAAAAAAAAAATACAGAGAATAGTAAGATATAGTAAAATCAAAAGGCAGTGATCAGTTTTGAGTACTTACATCACATCACTTTATGTTTGTCTTTTATAGCTAGATATTTCAACTTGCCCCTGTAGGTACCAGTGTATAAGGAAACATGTTTTCAAACACGTTAATTAGTTCATATTATATGGGAATTTCCTTGTCAAACTCCTGTTTTCAATACATGTTGAGCATCCACAATCCGAAAAATGGTAAATCCAGAAGCGCTCCAAAATCTGAAACATTTTGAGCGCCAACAGGCCGCTCAAAGGAGACACTCGCTGGAGCATTTCAGATTTGGGGATTTTCAGATTAGAGACATTCTACCACTGAGTATAATGCAAATATTCCAAAATCTGAAAAAAATCCCAAATCTGAAACACCTCTGGTCCCAAGCATTTCAGATAAGGGTTACTCAACCTGTGTATAATGTGTTTCATTGCAAGGTTTGTGTGTCTAATTTTTAGTAACGGCTTTGTTAACCACTTCGTTTCGCCACTCACCAGCCGCGACACCTTGCCCACAGCCGGCACTCAGTCCCCACGACGGTCTGTGCTGGGCATTGACGTCGGATCCGTTTTGCTCTTGCGTGACGAGGAAAGCTTTAAAGCACTGAAAGCTTGTTTTACTTTACAAAGCTTTACTTGTCGTGTAAATCAGAATAGATAACATACACATACATGTTTTCATTACGTTATTTTTAAATGTTCACAATTTTATTTGGATGCATGAAAAATTAGAAAAGTCACATCACGGCTGTCGGCTACAGTCGCCGTGCACGTTCATCTGTGGCTGTCGGCTACAGTCGACGCTGGTGCCGAAGTGGTTAACCCCCTAGCTCGCGTGATTCCCGGGAAATACCAACCGAGTCTTCCACGCGGCGGGTCTTCTGCGTGCTCCTGCGTGCTCCTGTGTGCCGAGCGCTGCGTGCCAGAGGCGGGCTCCGGGAGCACACGAGGCCCACACCCCGCAGAGACGCACGGGAAGCAGGTGCGCGCGGGAGAGCAAGACCACGCTCCATGTTTTGGGCACCGTGGAGAGAGCTGAACTGGACGACAGGGCTGTGCTGATATTCCCACTTTCTCCTAACCTCTCTCTGTGAAGGAGGACCCTGTGTCCCTGCATAGCACAAGATGGGGCCAGGCACACAAAACGCCCGACGCCGGGCAGGTGCGACTGGCCACGGCTGATCACTCTCATGCCGGGTCTGTCTGGGAAGCATCCAGCCATGTAATATGGAAAATCAGAGACGTTTATTGACGACGTAAGATACAAGGAACACTGTACACAGGACAGTCACACCTCAGTCCCCTTCAGAGTAGGCCCGCGGGGACCCCACACGGTTCTCCCGGCGGCTCTTCACCTGACCTGCACTCGTTCAGCATCCTCAGCAGGTGGTCCGCTCCTGGTGGCCCTTCCAGAACTCGGATCGCCTTCAACAGGCGCTCGACCATCTCCGAGGCGTTCTCGCCACCGTTTTATCCGTGCTGCGCTCACCGCAGTGTCCGCTAAAGCCTCCCAAGTCATGCGGGTACTTTTCCGCGGGGGAATGTCCAAGCTTAAGGCAACATCCGATGCAGATTCGTTGCTCCGCTCGCTCAGTCGTTTTGCATGTGACAGCCACACAGTGCACGTGCTCACTCCCCGTCGTCTGGCACCCACTGGCTGGTCCGGCGCCGCCGCCCTGCCCTTGTTCATGCACGCGCATCCCGGTCCGCTCTCCTTGGCTGCCAGCCCGCGTCGACCTCGCACAGACCGTTCTGGCAAGTTAACAGTGGCTGGATTCTTTACGGACAGATCTCATGGGCTGTCAGCCTGCAGGGGGAGGACACCCCAGGCCGAGCAGGGCCGCAGGGGGGTTACAGCTGGGAGCAGAGCGAACAAGCGGGGGCCTGGGAGGCAGGCTGTGCCGCAGCAAGAGGGTGAGGTGGCCCTTGGTCCCCACGGGAGGATGTGATCGGTGTGTTTGGAATCTGTCAGCTGGGGGCCCTGTGGGTGCAGCTGGTCTGGCGGCTGCAGGACCCGCCTGGGGGGGGGGCAGCTTCTCCTGCTGGGTGGAGGGACAGACCTGGCCAGAGCAGGGGGGCTCCAGGTTAGGCCTTAGTGGCTGCTTAGAGTTCAACCGCGTTGTCAAGCCCGCCCATGAAACCATAGGCCATATGACTTGGCCAGTCGGAGCTGGCCCCTCTGCGCTAACCCTCAAGGTGGAGGGGAGGGTGGCCAGGGCTGGAGCGTCTCGAGCAGAGGGGACGGCTGCCACCTTAGCCTGAGACAGCGGTGGCAGGGCGGGGCGTGGAACTGGGGAGGCCAATGCGGCCTCAGCCTGACGCACAGGGGACAGGTGGAGAGGCAGAAGGCTGGCCCCTCTGCACTGAGGAGCCGGGCTGGCTTGTGTAGGAGCAAGGGGTGGCTGCGGGTGCCCGGCAGGGCGGACTCTGGGCATAAGGGCCCAGTGCTCCCCGGGTGGTCATAGCTCGGCCCAAAGCCCTTGGAGAGGGCCAGAGGCCCCCACACCTGGGAGCTGCAGGGGGCAAGGGAAGCTTCTCTCCCATCTCCTGGAAGCATCCGCGTTGGCTGGTGAAGGAGGCTGGCAGAGAGAAGTGAGAGTTGAAGCAAAAGCTGGCAGCGGGGTGGAGACAGAGTGTCCACCGAGCTAGGCTGAGGTCGGGGCCAGCAAAGCCAGAGTCTGGACTTGGTCTCAATCAACAGGGAGCCCTGCGGATTTGGGGCAGCACCAGACTTTTAGGAGAGTAGCTGGTGGCTGGGGGGAGGGTTGGGTGGGGGAGGGAATAGAGGTTCCTGCTAGAGGGACCTAGGACAGCAGGACGGTCACCGAGGTGGAGACATGTGGAGGGCAGAAAGAAAGGGGGTGCCACCCAGCCCCCTTGCATGCTGGAGGGGGAGGGGGCCCTGGGGCCCAGAGCGCAGGGGAGGGCCTGGCCAATGTGTGGGTGGGGAGGGTAGGGAGAGGGGAGAAGCGAGGACAGACACTCTGGGGCCTGGAGCAGCTGCAGGTCTGGAAGGTCTGACTGACCCCCGGCTAGACTCAGTTTCCCCAAAGGGTCCTCCACTCCTTGGCTGCCCGCACTGCCCTGGGTGCCCAGTCGAGTCTCCAGCCCGGGACGCAGCGGGACTTGCAGGGTCGGGGGTGAAGCCTGTGCAGAGACTCAGAGGACCAAGGGAGAGGGCAGTGCCGGGCGACTGGCAGGGAGGGTGGGGGGAGAGGGAGAGGCCAGAGAGGGAAGGGTGGGGGTGATGCGTGGCGGGCTGGGGGGAGGCAGGAATACGGGGTGGGGAGTCTGGGGGAAGGATGGGAGGGGTCCCAGCTGGGACGCGGGGGGGCGTGTCCAGCAGGGGCGCGGGCGGGCTGGGGACGAGGCTGGCCGGGGAGGGGGTGGGGCGGGAGGGGCGGGGCCAGCGTCCAGGGGTGTGTCCGGCAGGGGCGCTGGGCGGGCCGGGGAGGGGGCTGGCCCGGGGCTGCCCCAGCCTGGCCGGGCGCGGAGCGGGGCGCATGGCGCCGGGCGCACGGCGCGGGGGCTGCGAACAAAGGGTCCCCGGCGGCGGCTGCGGTGCGGGGACATCCGCGCTCGGACCCTGGCCCTGGCTCGGCCCCGGCCCGGCCCCCTTCCCGGGCGCGGCGCCCCCACGGAGCCGAAAGATGAAGGGCGCGCTGCTCGGGCCGCTGCTCCGGCTCCTGCTGCTGTCGCCGCTGTCGCCGCGGGACGGCGTGCGCGCCGCGCAGCCCCAGGCCCCGTGAGTACCCAGGCGGCGGAGGGGGCGGGTCGCCTTCCCGGGTAGGGGGCGCAGGGACTGGCTCAGAGAGTGGCTGAGACCTGTCCAAGGCCACACAGCCTCCGCGCCGGCGGGAGGTGCAGTCTTGTCCCGAATCGTGCTGGGGAGACGCGCCAAGAGGCCGGGGGAGGCATGAGGACTCCCCCGAGCTAAAGGCTGCGAGGCCAGCCACGCCCCTCCCGCCTCGCCCCTTCGCGTGACCCGGGCTGTCATCTTGGGTGGTGATCCGCAGTTGTCCGAGGCACGGAGGCCGGCGTCTTAGCAGAGGCGGGAGGAGCGTCCCGCTGAGCCTTGCCTGGGGTGGGCGTGGTGGGGGGGTGTTTGTTTTGCTTACACATTCTTCTGGAGGTTTGCTTAGAGCTTCTGGGGGGCGGGCACAGGGAGGAGGTGAAGCCACTGGTTGCTGGGGACAGTGTCCCGTTAGTTGGCTGCATAGGGCATACTTCCAGACCGGCCGCGCTGGGTAAGTCCTGCAGGGCTGTGGGTTCGGGGGTGCTGCCCCGGCCAGCCGCATGCCCGCCTTTCAGTCTCGCTGGAAGTCCCGGAGGTGGCTGGTTCAAGTAGCCCTTGTTTAGGAATTTCCAGAAAACAGGTCAGCAGTGAGAGTAGGTGGGTGTCGTCTCTTCCAGCCTGCTCCGTTCCGGTCACAGTTTGAAAAGACGACACACTGTGCTCTGAGCGTTGAGATCTCCTTCAGCCTCTGATCTCTGATCTCCGCTGGGTGACGTGGGGACCCTGCCAAGTTTTGTCCTTATGCTTCTTTCAAAGTCGCATCTCTTAGCATAGATGCAGTTTTTGTCTCCCTGAGGTCACTCTGCGATGTCTGGAGGTGTTTTGGGCTGTCACAGCTAGAGGGAGGCAGTGCCTCGGGGGCCTCCTGGGTGCAGGCCAGGGGACCCCATCTTAGGAACAGCCGCAGGTACCCGCTTCTGTGACCTGAGGAATTTCCGCATGAGGAATCCCCTGACCCTGGAAAGCAGCACGGATTTGCACACTGTTGATACGGCAGTTCTGTTGACACTGACCCAAACACACTTTCCCCAGTCTGGAACCTTCTGAGACCAGCAGGGTGAGAAGATGCCAGTGTCAGCCCAGGTGCCGGGGCGGGAGGCGCTCAGGTGTGATAGCGCATGCCTGGCGTTCATCCCAACCGCTGCAAACAGCTGCGACTTCTGAATAGCAGGGACCAGGGACGGTCAGTTTGGCCACATCAGGTTCTCCGGGCAGCTGGATGAAGACGCTAACCCAGATTCTGGGTTAGGACTTTAGAAGGTGACCAAGGAAAACGGACGTGCAGGTGGCGTATGCCTCAGACGCTCTTCTGTACTCTGCGCATGTATTCGTGATGCCCGCCTAAGCTCCAGGGGTGAGGCAGAAAGAGCGTGTCCGTCTTAAAGAAGGCCACATCCCGGCGCTGGAGTGGAATCGGTGGCCTGCGAACCTAGGGTCATTCTGCGCCCTGGTCAGTGCAGGAGTTAGGTAGCACACACCGTGTACCTGGGGTCTCGCAAGCCCCAGTTGGTCCTGCGGTTGGACAGTACACAGAGGGTCCCGGGGGCCTGAACTCTGGTCACTGTCCATACTGACAGAGCACAACGGAATCCCAGGGTCAGCGTAATCTGTGGCCAATGCTATGGCCAGGCAGCACCCAACACGAACCCACTGTGTCTTCCGAAACGCAAAATGTGCAATGATGTTTTCATGAAGTCCAGTTTATCAGTGGTTTCTTTTATGGATCATGCTTCTGGTTTCTTACCCAAGCAGTGTTTGCCCGACCTAAGTTCACAGCGACCTTGTGCCGTGTTTTCTTCTAGTACTTCTACGGTTTAACGTTTAGTTCTGTGACCCACTTCGGGTTCATCTTAGTGTATGGTGTGAGGTAAGGGTCAAATTCGTCTTTCTGCATGTGGATGTCGTGTTGTCCCAGAGGCGATTTCGAGGAAATAGAAATCTCTCCTAATCTCATTGCCCTGTCCAGTTGTTCCCTTTACCCCACTTTCTTCTGGTGTCCATTGTTCTGCATGGTTGGGTTTGGGGGTGCCTTTTTCTTGCTGGTGCTGTCGGCACTTGCCGGCTCATCGTAAATGTTTCACAAGGCTACAGAACCTTTGTAATTTCCCTTGGGAGTGGGGGGGGGGGCAGGACCTCTCCTACCTGGCTGCGATCTGGTGCGTGTTCCTTATTCTCCTAAAGCATCAGCCTCCCATGGGGGAAGTGCGACAGCAACACCTCTCTTGCAGAAGTGTCTGCCCAGCCAATCAGAGGATTCTCAGCAAGCGAGGGCTGTTTTGATTCCATCGTTCCCGGAGCTTTTCTCATCTGGGGCTGTCTAGTTTGTTTTCAGGGTTTGTTCTTAAAGTGAAATACTGCAGCAAAGCCCACTTGTCCCTGTCCCCTGGGCTGTGGTCTGGCTGGCTGAGTTAGAATGCTGGTCTCTCAATGATTGGGTCTTGACTTGACTTCTCCAGGGCTTACCTTCTGATTCTGTAAATGGGGCTCGTGTTAGCACTTCCCGCAGGGTGGCTGTGAGGATCCGGTAGCATCCTGCTGGTTACCCGGCTTACAGAGGAGAGTATTTCAGACGGTGGGCATGGCATGTGCAAAGGTCCTGAGGCAGAAGGAAGTAGCTGAGAAAAGAGACTGGAGGCCAGAGTACAGAGAGTTGGGGGTGGGTGTGTGTGATGCTTGTAAGTCCAGTGAGCCCAGATTCTTGTCCAGCACGGGGACCTCGGAGGTGAGTAAGCCGATTTCAGGTCTCAAAGACTGTTGGGGATCAAAGACCCGCAGAGCAATGGTGCCGGCCAGGCGTGGTCAGGAAAAGGCAGGAGTCTGCCTGGGGGGTGCCCTGACCCAGCCAGGGTGGCGGGGAGGCCAGGGCTGGGTCAGACCCTCACCTCGGTTCTCCTTTCCCGCAGGGGCTATTTGATCGCTGCTCCCTCGGTCTTCCGCTCGGGAGTGGAGGAAGTCGTCAGCGTGACCATCTTTAACTCCCCAAGGGAAGTCACGGTCCAGGCCCAGCTGGTGGCCCAGGGTGAGGCGGTGGCGCAGAGCCAGGGAGCCATCCTGGGTAGGTCCCTTGGGTGCCTGAGCAAGGCTTCCTCTCCCCTTGTGAAGCGGGGCCACGTGCTGGCCTTTAGGGCTGGGGGCAGAGTGGGCTTTGCTTTGTTTCCTTTCTGCCCGGCATGCCCAGACAGAGGGAGCGAGGGAGGGAGGGAGGGAGGGCGGGAGGGCAGGTTGCATTCTCCCCATTTTACAGATGGCAAGAGTAAGGCCCAGGAGGGGCAGCCACCTGGTTTCATCTCAGAAACCAGCGTACCTTGCTCCTTGGCAGCCCTGGTCCTGTGGGTGCAGATCTGGGCAGAGTCGGGCCCCCTTCTGTGCCAGCTTTGGGCAGAGGTAGAGCCGGGGGGCCTGGCAGGGATCTCATGACCAGTTCAGACCTTTTGTTGGGTGTCCAGGACCCTCGTGCCGTTGTCAGAGCCTCACCTGGGCTCACAGGTCTTTCCACTGAAGAAGTGGGTCCTTCTTTCCCAGGACCACTGGGTAAAGTCCCAGGATTCCCTCTGGTTGGCCCATCTTGGGTCATGTGCTCAACCTTTAGCCAGTCATTAGGACCAGAACGGATGGCCTATGCAGATTGGCACAGAGCCCCAAGAGAGGGGAGTGGAGACTTTCCAAAGCCTCATGGCCTGGGAACTGGGCAGGTAGCCCTCCCCCCGCCCCGTGGAAACTGAGGTCCTGTTATCAGGAGATGGGGGAATGGGTGCTGGGAGGCTAACACAGTAGGTGCCTAATGGAGTCCTGGAGGCCAGAAAACCCAGGACAGGTTTTGGAACCACAAATGACCCAGTGTGGGTAGCAGAGTGAGGTGATAGGAGACCAGCCAGGTTCAATGGGGTGAGGTCCACTGGGGACCTCTGCCTCCTCTTCTTTCTCTCCGCTCTTCTTTTTCCTCTCCCCTGGTGTTTTCTCTTTACTCTCCTCACAGCTTACTTTGGGCAGGGGCCAGGGGTGAAGTCAATTAAGAACATAGGCAGGCCAACTTTCCCCTGAATAGCTCGGCTTTGTGCACCCATGCCCTCCAGCCCTCGGCTCTCGCCAGCTTGGAGGAAACCTCTTGCTTCTGCCAGTCCCAGCCAGGCCAGCCTGACCCAGCGCGGGTTTGTCCACAGGAAAACCCCTCTGGGTTGGGAAAGTTTCTGCGTGTGAGGCCGTAGCTCGGGGAGGCAGGAAAACACGGGCCCTGATTTAACCCTTTTCCATTTTATTTTCATTTTTAGATAAAGGGACAATCAAACTCAAGGTAAGCTGTGAATTTTTTTAACTCATAAACCATACCTTGAAAGTACAGAATTGGAGTTGGAAGGGAGCCGGAGACATTGCGTGTGTTGCCAGAGAGATCATCAACGGTGATGTAAGAATCGAATGATGAAGTTTAGAAAAGGCAAAACCCACCCATACTCCCCTTTTCTTACTCTTCACTTTGTATGTTTCCCACAAAGCCTTGCACGTATGTTTTCCTTCAGAGTTTCAATTGAGGGGTACCTACTGGGGTGTTTCCTGCTATTGTCTCTTAACATGTTGCCGTAAACGTACTTCCCTATTTCCAAGTCTCTGTCATTGTGATCTGCACCTTATTATAAACAACACCCTGCTCTCCCTCTCTTGTCTACTCACTCACTAACCTCCACTGTGTCTAGGTTAGATTTTTTTTTCCGAGGTTTTGATTATTTTTGGGGTTTTGATCCTATAATCCAAAAGTTGCCAGCTGATGGCTCAGCTCGGAAGGAGAGACGGTTCTGGCAGACAAGTCTGTGCCTGGGCACAGTCACCCGGGTTTTTCGGGGAGTAGCTAGCACCAGTGTTGTAAAAAGCATTATTTTAAATGTTATTTCACCATTATTTCGCCATCTTCAAAGACTCCGGGCATTTCACCAGCATTTTTAGAGGAGTGGCTTCACGAGCTCACGGCCTGAGATGATTCTCGCAGAGATTTCTGTGTGGATGCCTAGCTAAGGGGATATTGGGCATAACGCATATAAGACATGTGCCCATATGTCTTTGGGCATAAAGCTGCGTTGGCATCTTGCATGCTTTCCTTAGCCCAAGTCCCCTGAAGGATTTGCAGGTTAGGATGCAAGCCTCTCTCTGGGTCTCGCTGTGTCCTAGAGTTGGGGTCCCCAAGCCCTGGGGACCTACGGTGAGTTGTACGATTATTCCATTATATGTTGAAACGTAATAATAATAGAAACAAAGTGCACACTCCATGGAATGCGCTTGGGTCGTCCCGACCACGCCCCCATCCCCAGGGTGTGGACAAGTTGTCTTCCTTGAAACCGGTCCCTCGTGCCAAAAAGATTGAGGACCGCTTGCTGCCCTAGCAGACGCAGCGGTACCCATTCGTGGCACCACCTGCGTTATATTAGGGACCACATTTCCCCACGTCCTCTTAGCATTGAATATTGTTATTTTTAAACTATTTCACGTAACCAGACGGCGCTGCAAGGACTTCTCTGACATGGGCTTTTCAACTGGAGTCCTTAGATTTCAGGGGGTTTGGAAGCCCTGAAATTGCAGGCGTTTTTTGGGGGGGTCAGCTGTCTCTTAAGTTTTAACCCTTTGCATTTGGATGTCGAGTGTGACTCGACACGGTTAGCAAAAATTATAGAGATTAAAATGATCCTCTGAATGTATCAATAATTTGAAATATAAAAAAATCCAAATAAGTTTGTATGAAAAGAAACTCCAGTTTTTTATTCTACTGCCGCGCTTTGTAAAATCTGGGGTATGTAAAAGATTAAATCCCGAGTAGAATAAAGGAATCGAGAAAAAAGCGAGCGAGTGCAAAGGGTTGAGTTTATTGCTCCAAGGAGTCCCTGACAAAGGGGCGCAGTGGAGAATCATTCTGAGTTACGAGGTGGCCGCCCCCAGCGCTCAGAAGGAGCTGAGACAGTGCCCCTTCCCAGGGGGCGTCCCTAGAGTCTAATGGCCACGGGGCCTCGATGGTAGAATCCCTTCCCTAAGGTGGCAGTTTGCACCTGGGGTGGCTTTATCCCCCGGGGGACCTTTGGTAATGTCTGGAGACACTTTTTGGTTGTCACATCTGAAGGAGGAGGGGTTGCCACTGGCACCTGTCAGGTCAAAGGGCAAGGGAGGCTGCCAAACATGGCAGGGTGCCCCTTGGCAGAGAGTGGCCCGGCCCCAGACGCCACCATGCTGAGTCTGAGAGAACCTCGCTGCGGGCACTGGTGGGAGCCACGCTGCTCTTGCGGGCGCAGAATCCCACCCCCCCAGCCCTGCCTGCCCTGGGGACCCCTCTGGGGACATGGCGGTTTCGGGACATGGCGGTTTCAGGACGTGCAGGTTGAGTGGCGTTGGCCACCACGGGAAGGCCCTGCCTAATCCGGGCCTCGGCCTTCTCACCTGCACTGTGAGGGTGCGGCTTAGACACCCTTGGTGGAACTTTCTAGAAAGTGTCCCCAAAACCTTGTGACACTTGCTTTATTCTGATGTTTCCTACTTAACCCGTGCCTCTGTGTAACAGATGCCTCTTTAGCATCTATTAAGTCCTGAACACGGAGCCAGACAGGTCCCCTGCTCTCTGAGCCGCTGGCCTTGTTGGTGGCAGGTGAGGGGGTGGACCAGGCCATCGACACCCAATGACGTCAGTAGGATCACCTCACAGAACAGGAAGTACTCAATTTTATTTTAAAATATACTGGAGGAAGCCAGAGAGGACTGGGGAGCAGCGTGCGTGGGGCCACGTTTTACACGGCAGGGAGCCCCCCGCCCCCCAGGAGGTGACATTTGAGCCGAGGCCTGGAGGAGCCACCGTGCGGGATCTGTGGGAAAGGCATTCCAGGCAAAGGGAAGAGCCAGTGCAAAGGCCCTGGGGCAGGAAGGAGGAAGTGAGCGGTGGCCTGGAGCACAGGGAACCGGGCGCTCCCATAAACCGTGCGAGGAAGGTTTTCCCACCTTTGCAGTCAGTCTCTGGAGGATTCCTCCACTCCGGAGGCTGTCCAGCTTGGACAGCAGTAATGACACCTGTTGCCACCACCCAGGTTTCTGGCACACATCCCAGGGTCATGATGGGTCAGTGGGCTGTGTTCTGGGCTTTTAGGGGGGCAGAGAAGGGTCCTCTAAGGTGGGACGCACATCCAGAGCCTAGAGGTGCCCTGGCCTGGCGGGGCGGGGCGCTGGGTAAAGCCAGCTGCCCCTGGATGTTCATCGGGGACAGGCCCGGGGTGGACCAGCCCCGGGAGCCTCTGCCCTGAGCCCTGTCCCCCTTCCCCCGCCAGCTCAGCCCCCAGCGGTGCCAGCCTTTCCCGGCCACCTCCCGAATGGCCTCGCAGGGCACTTTCCCCTGCGGGGATCCCAGCCCCGAGCCCTTGGTGGTTTGTCCTCCACGTTAAACAAGTGAACTTGGATCCCTGAGGTCGGGGGTGGGGGAAGTAGAATCTGCTTAGTCTAGAATATTCCAGAAAGACCTCTGGGGGCAGGCAGGTGCAGGACCAGGTGGGACCACTGCTCTGAGCTGAGGGGACTAGGTTGCAACGGCAGCTCTGCAGCCTTCCTGACCTGGAGAGAGCCACTCCCTGTCCCCAAAGGCCATGTGTGATCCAGGCCCGGCACTCCCCAGCACCCGGGTGGGGGTGGGGCGTCTCGTCAGCCGGTCCCCAGACTCGGATGGGGGCTCTGAAGGGCTCGGGCACCTGCGGGGATGGGGGCGGAGTGCGTGCGACGCTTGGCCTCCAGCTTGGTGCCCAGCCTTGGCTCCAGCCCTTGTGGCGCTGCGCCCCCTCCCGGAGACAGAGGCACCACGTCCGTCCCTGACACGGAAGGGAAGCCCAGAGCGCAGCGCAGCGCCGAGCCGCTTGCGCTGCCTTTCTTTCCCTGTCGGGGGGAAGCCCCTCTGGGGGCTGTGGCGCTTGCGCCTTGCCCCCTTTCGGCCGTCAGGGACAGCGCGGTGCCCAAGTGTCCGCTCAGCGCTCGAGAGACGCGGAGTCTGCAGGGTGCGCTCCGTCCCCTGGCGGATGGAAATTTTGTCCTAGCGAAGTGTCCCCTCCAGGGCAGATCCTTAAGTCTCTGCAGTGGTTTTTGTTTTTTTCATCTATGTGGGGGAAAAAAATTTATGACCATTTTAATCATTTTAAAATGCACAATTTTAACCATTTTAACATGTGCAGTGGCATTCGGTACATCCACAAGGTTGTGCAACCGCGCTCGTGCTGAGTTCGCAGAGCACCGACGAGCCCAGAAGGCAGACACCCGTCCCATCAGCAGTCGCTCCCCCCTCCCCCTCCCCCGGCCCCCTGCAGCCACTCATTTGCCCGGTCCGGACGTTTCACAGCAGGCGGAGTCACGCACTGCGCGTGCGTTGTGTTTTTAGAGCAAGGTAACGCACGGACACACGTCTGTACGTGATGTATGTGCACGCATACATGCGTGTGCCTATGTACATGTACAAAGGCCCTGGGGTCTCAGTCCCCTGTTCCCGGGCTGTGGAGCCGCTTGGCCCTGCGGGAGGCAGTTCTCACTCGGAGTGTCGCAACTTGGAGCGTCGCACTGCCGCTATGTGGGGACAGGTCACCCTTTGCCGTGGGGCGTCCCGTGCACTGTAGGACGTTGGGCGGCGTCCCCGGCCTCCACTCACTAGATGACAGTGGCATCTCCTGTTCCCGGTAGATATGATACCCACAAACATCTCCCAAAGCTCCCAAGTGTCCCGGGGGGGGCACAGCCACCTCAGGCCAGCACCCCCATTGGAGACCTCCAGGCTACTTTCCCAGCATCCTGGCCCCGGCAGGTGACAGCCTTGTCCCAAAGCTCTGCTCTCTGCCTGCAGGTGCCCACGGGCCTCCACGGCCAGGCGCTGCTGAAGGTGTGGGGCCGCGGCCGGCGGCGGAGGAGGGCCCCCTCTTCCACAACCAGACCTCGGTGACGGTGGACAGCCGGGCGTCTCCGTGTTCATCCAGACGGACAAGCCGGTGTACCGGCCCCGGGACCGAGGTGGGCGGCCCGAGCGCGCCCGCGCGGGGTGGGTGTGGCTGGCCGCGGCCCGGAGGTGCCACCCGCCTCGCTTCTTTCTTCCAGTGCTTGTGAACATCTTCACCGTCTCCCCAGACCTGAGGCCCGTCAACGAGAAGGTGAGATCGGCTTCCAAAACCGTGTGCCTGGAGCACACCCACCTGGGGCCACCCGGCCAGGGCCACCGTCAGCAGCCCTGGCACCTTCTGTTTTCTGCCTTCCTCCTGAGGCTCCCTGGCCCCCGAAGGAGCCCCCGGGGAGGTGTCTTTGTGACCGAGGAAGGCTGGTGGGTGGACTCGGCTGCCTCCTCCTTAGCCAGGGAGCGCTGGCGACCCCGGAGGGCTTTCGTTGGCCACGGACTAGCATTCACATCCTGACGGCCACGCACTTATTCAGCCTTTATTAGAAAGCAGACATCACTGCCACATCAAACCCGTCATTTCTCCTTCAGAATAATAAATACATCCTCACGGAAAGGGCACGGATCTTCTTTTACGTTTTCATTTGGAAATAACGTCCACCTTACAGACCTGTTAGAACAGCACAGAGCACTGTGTGGCCAGGTGGATTTTGTAGCAGCTACTCGGATCCGCTGTTGTCACACAAAAGCAGCCACAGTCAGTATGTGAGCGAATGGACACGGCCGGGTGCCAATAAAGCTTTATTTATAAAAGGAGGCAGAGGGCCAGATTGGTTGAGGGCTATAGTTTGCCAACCCCTGACCGGGAGCAGTAGTTCTCGAACTTGAGGGTTCATCAGAACCACCCGATAGGTTTGTTCGCACACAGATTGCTGGGTTCTCCAGAGTTCTGGAAAACGGCCCAAAACTCTGCATTTCTGACATTCCCAGCTGCTGCTGATGTGAGGAACACACTTTGAGAACCACGGGTCTAGATTCACCAATTACAGACGTATAAATGTAGCAAGAATGTACACTTTGCTACGTTTATGTCGTCTCTCTGTTACATATATATAGACATGCACACAAATATATATGTATTTATGTATGTAGTATACTTATATATACACACACATAAAATTATTCTAGTGAGTCACTTAAGAATAATTTACAGATATTATGTCTTTTTACCCCTGAACACTTTTGCCTGTATCTTTTAAGAAAAGACATTCTCTTACGCAAGCAATCATCACATTTAAGAATTTTGACATCGATACAGAAATATTATCTATTAATAATGTAAAATATGTGTTGTTCCAGTAATGTCCTTTATAGCGTGTTTCTTCGCCAGTCCGGGATCTGATCCCGGATAATTTGTTGCATTTGATCGTCCCATCTCTTGGTCTCCTTTAACTCGAATCGTTTCCTCACTGCCTTTCTGTGTCTTTCACGACTAACGTTTCGGGGGAGTCTGGGATGTTGTCGTATAGGATGTCCCTGTTTCCCTTTTCTAATCAATAAACAATCCATAGGGGACACTGAGACTCTGGGGACACCCTGTCACCCCTCATGTGCTCCCCTGAGAGTTCTAACATCAGCAGACAGTGCGAAAATCGCATGAGTCGAAACTTACCGTGATGATTGCAACGTGGTGATTTTTCTAACTCGGTTATTTCCTCTGCGTTTACTTGTTGGCATTCTGCTACACGGAGGCGCTTTCGAAAGGCATCGAGTGTGAAGAAAGAGATTTGAGTGAACCGGGTAAACCGCACCCATACGTAGCAATGATGTGAAGGTGGTCGGAGGGCAACTTCCACTTTGGAGACCCCAAGAGGACTCATGGAAGGCGCCTACTGTGCGCCAGGCTCGGTTCTAGTGCGTGGGGCTCGTTGCTGAGCAGATCAGACACGGACCCCATCCGTGGGGCTCATAGGCTAGAAAATAATTTTGCCAAGGGCCCTGGTGAGTGGTGACCTGCCTAGAAGTGCAGTTCTGTGGGTACATGTGGCTTTTTCTTAACTGGCATCACCTCCAAGTTGTGGTGCTACTTTTTTGTTGTTGTTTTAGAGATAGGGTCTTGCTATGTCGTCCAGGCCAGTCTTGAACTCCTGGTCTCAAGTGACCCTACCACATCGGCCTCTCAAAGTGCTGGGATCATGCTACTTTTTTATTGGATACTTCGATGCATTTGCCCACGCTTTTGGACATAGCCTTGTAAACTCACCTTCGTACCTGAGTTCCCTCTGGCCCGGGAAGGCTCCGTACCTAGCCACCCTCTCCTGGTGGATGTTTGCATGTCTCCAGGTTTTGCTGGTGTCAGAAATGCTGCCACGATTGTCTTTATACTCGAACCTTCCCTTTCCGCTGGTGTTTCCTTCCCCAGCTGCAGGTAGATCCCAGGAGTGGGATTCCAGGGCCCGTGGCCAGGCTGGCGGTGAAGGCCCCGGGTTGCTTTTGGAGTGGGCAGCGCTGGTTCCCTGTGCTCGGATGTCTGGGGACCGTGAGCTCAGAGCCCTCCCTCTGTGGCCTTGGGCGCTTGAGGTCGGCCTTGGCCGGGCGTGCAGTTACTGGGGAGGGCTTGATGCCCACGAGGAAGGAGAGAGCCTCGGGTGTTTGCAACTGTCCGTTTTCCTCTGGGGGCCGCCGAGAGCCCGCAGGAAGGGCAAAGTCACGAGGAATTGAATCCTACGTGCAAGGCTTCTAGGCGCCCCTGGCTCAACAGGGACGCCCCTGGACACACAGGCAGCCCTGAGCTGCTGGGACTGACCCACACACCCAGCATCGGCGACACGTGGGGACGGGGCGTGTTGCGGAGTCCGGCAAGTGCAGGGCATGTGCAAGCCAGGGCACTGGGCCGGAGAGTTCTGCAAGTTGGAGGTAGCACGTGGCGCTACCCAGCGCAGACGGTGACGGGCACTGGCTCACTGCCAAGCTCTGGGATCATTAGGGCCTGAGGGGACCCTGGCACGGACCACCTGGGAAAATGTCCCAGTGGCGATCTAGGAAGACTGCCTGGAGGAGTCATCCCTGGGGCAAGTGTGGAAGGGCAGGCAGGGGGCTCAGCCACCTCCTTGCCTACGACAATTGTGTGAGTTTGCCAGGGCTGCCCTAACAAAGTACCACAAATCAGGTGGATTAAACAACAGAAATTTATCGTCCCACAATTCTGGGGGCCGGAAGTCCAAGGTCAAGGCGTCAGCAGGGGAGGTTCCTTCCGAGGCCTCTCTCCTTGGCTCGGAGATGGCGTCTTCCCCCTGCGTCTTTGCGTGTGCGTGGCTGTGTCCGAACTTCCCCTTGTATTAAGGACTCTGGTCACACTGGGTCAGGGCTCACCCTAACGACCTCATGCTACCTCAATTTCCTCTCTAAAAACTCTGTCTCCAAATACAGTCGCATTCTGAGGTCCTGGGGCTTAGGACTTTGACACGTGTAACCTGGGGCAGGGGGAGAGAAAGTCAGCCCGCAGCGGGGACAGTGCCCGCCCGTGGGACCCGGGCTACAATGTGGGGAGGGCGGCGGAGGGTTGGCTCACCGCCTCTGTGTGTCTCTGTTGCAGCTGGAAGCCCACGTCCTGGTGAGTGGCCCCCGTCCCTCCGCGGCTGGAACCCAGGGACTGGTCAGCCCGCCTCCTGCACGATCCCGTCTGGCTTTGCCCGCCGCCCGCCATCTGGGTTGAGCCCTCGTGCCCTGCAAGGCCGGGCCCCGGGCTCTCCTGCCCGGCCTGGCCTCCATCCCGGTCCCTGGGCCGTCCCGGGGCCAGGCTGAGCGTGCATGTGTCCCCCCCCACCACCCCCCCCCGGGGGTTTGCAGCAGACCCTCTCCTGCAGAGCTTCCCTCTGCTCTGTGTTGGTGTCAGGGATCCGTCTCAGGCTCTGCCCTCCTACGGTCGCCGTGGCCGAGACAGAAGCTGGGGCGTGTCCTCGAACTGGGCATGTGCTGGGCTGCCCTGAGTCCCCGCTCGTGTCTGTCCCCCCCGCAGGACCCCCGCGGCTCTCGGATGATGGAGTGGAGGAGGCTGCAGCCCGTCTGCTGCGGTGAGTGTCCTTCCCCCTCGCTCGCTGCCCCTCCTCTGCCGGCAGCACGTGCAGTCGGTCAGCCTTCCAGGCAAACGGCGTGACGCGTCCCAAGGGGTGCCTCCCCGGCGTACCCCCACTGCCACCCCAGCTGCAGGGGACCAAGGAGGAGCAGAGGGCAGGCACTCACCGGGAGGCGGCCGTACCGTGGGTTTGGGTCCAGGAGCCTCAGCCCAGCCCGCAGCCCCGTCCCCTCACGCTCGGACCCTCTGCCCTCATTTCTCTGCGCGATTCCCCGCTGGGAATCCTGCCCAGAACTCAAGACCTTTCCGGAATATTCCGGCCTTGTCCATTGGCACCTGCTCTCAGTGACTTCCCGCTGCAGGCTGAAGACCTGTCATCCGTGCGGCGTGAGACGTCTCTGTCTGGTTTAGGAGTCAGGACGGGCTTTGCTGTGGCCCAGGAAATGGGCTTTTCCCTTTTCTGTGGCCAGAAGGGCTGTGACTTCGACGTCCCCCTCTTTGCTTTGTCCGTGAGGGACGGGGTGACCCCTCAGAGGACAGGGAGTGGTAGATTCAGGGGAGTCCGAGGACAGCTGTGCACACACTGGGGCTGTCCAGAAGGCAGGACTCACAGGGGTCTCTTGGTGACCCCCGCCCGCCTCCTCCCGTCTCCTGCCCCGGTGCTCGGCCCTTCTTTTCTGTTCCATTGTCCCTCTCTGCCTTCGTCCCTCCCCCTCTCGCCCTGGCCCGCCGTCTTCCCGCCAGCAGACACTTGCTGAGGACCTTGTAGCTACTGGGATGGGTGAGCCCCCAGTCCCATGGGGGAAACAAACACTAACTAAACAGCCCAGATAAGGTCAGTTATGATGAGTGCTAGGGTGAGGAAGTCCAGATGCAGAGAGGGCAAAATGGGATTCTATCCCAGCCTAGGGTGGCAGTGGCAATCCTAGAAGGCTGCCTGGAAGAGACATTTTTTTGGTGACAAAAGTGAAGAAGGAACAGGAGGTAGCCAGGCAAAGCTAGCGGCCAGGAAGCACTTTCCAGGCAGGGACCCTGCATTTGGGAAGGGCTGCCAGTGACTGAGGGAGTGAGGCTGGAGGCCAGACAGAGGCCTGGGTATAGGGAGAGCTGAGAGCAGGGGTGAGGTCAGTGAGAGCCAGGGAAGAGTATGGACTCGATCTTAGGAGCACAGAGGAGGGGAGTGGTCAACTTCCTGTTTTCAAAAAAACCCCTTGGGTGTGATGGACTGTAGTCCCAGTGACTCGGGAGGCTGAGGCAGGAGGATCGCTTGAGGCCAGGAGTTGGAGACCAGCTTGGGCAACATAGCAAGACCCCCATCTCTAAAATATAATTAAAACAACAACCCCCTTGGGATGTGTGTAGACAAAGGGTTCTCAACCAGGGTGATTTTGTACCTCTTTCAGGGGACATTTGGGGATGCTGGCCACAGGCTCCTTAGAAAGCGTGTGTTCCCAACAACCTCCCTCAAATGTCCCCCAGTCATCAAAGCCTTCTCTGAATACTTGGGGAAAGGGTCGTCTTAGCCGTCCCACCCATTCCAGTGTGATGGGGGGAAGCTGCGGGTGCCGCCGTGGTCTCTGGGGTCTGCCCGGTCCCTGGGCACTGTCCTCCCTGTCTGACCACGGGGGACGAGTGGAGCATGTCACACTCAGGGGCGGAAGACCCCCCCCCGAGTGGCGTGGAGCCGACGTGCACCCGACGTGCACCCCTGTGCCAGCTCCCGGTGCGAAAGCAGAGCTCCAGGCCGGGCTCGGGGTGGGACCCAGAGCAAAGGGGACCTCCCGTGCCAGAGGCCGACGGCGTTTCTGGGGCGGTGTTTGGAGGGTGGTGGTCTGCCCGGTCCCGACCCACCTGTCCGCCCGGCCATCTGTCTTGGCGGTTCCCACGCAGGGGTGACTTTGCCCCTGGGATGCTGGCAACACTGGAGACCGTGCAGGTTGCCGTCGTTGGGGTGGGGGAGGGGGCGGTGCTCCTGGCAGCTGCTGGGTGGAGGCCGGGGCCCCGCACTGGACGCCCCACCCCGGAGGACAGCGCTGCCCCGGCCGGTGTCAATAGTGCCAAGGCCAGCCGTCTCCCACTCGCCCAGCTCCCAGCCTGCACTTGACCTTGGCCCAGCTCCCAGCCTGCACTTGACCTTGGCCGCCAGCTCTCCCAGGAGCCTGAGGTGCTGCCGCAGCCTCTTCCCGGGTCCCTCCCTCAGCCCGTGGGGGGTCTCAGACCCCCCTCCCCGCTGTGTCCTGCTCCTCACAGACCCCCCGCCCCAGCCTCTGCGTGGCCTCCCGCCCTCCCTGGGGGCTGCCGGGGCATTGGGAGCAGCAGGGTCCCAGGTCCCTCTTCCTGGACCCCACTGCTGCTGGTGCCAGGGCCAGGCCCCCGCTCGCTGGTGGCTCCCTGCAAATGTCCTCGTCTCTCTTGACGCAGGCGTCACCAACATGAGCTTCCCCTTGTCCGACCAGCCCGTGCTGGGAGAGTGGCTCATTTTTGTGGAGGTGCAAGGCCACGTGTACAACAAGTCCTTCGAAGTCCAGAAGTACGGTGAGCGAGTTGGGGGCCCTCGGGGTCCTGGGGTCCTGGAGCCTCGGGTCTGGGAGGGACCTCAGATGGCACGAGGGTGCTGATGAAGAGGAGGAGCACAAGGGTCCCCATCCACTGAGGGCTCACGGCGGCCGAGCACGGTGGCGGAGGACAGTCCTCCCTCCCGCCTCGGCCTCCCAAAGTGCTCGCGTGACAGGTGTGAGCCGCCGCGCCTCGCCCGTCTCACCCATTTGCAAGCGTGTGCTTTGGTGGCATCAAACGCATCCATCCTGCTGTGCGGTCCTCCGAGCATCCGCCTCCAGAACTTTCTCGTCTCCCCAACCGGCACTCTGTCCCCACGAAGCATGAACCCCCAGCCCGGACCCGTTCCACTTCGTCTTGTGCCTTGGGGTCTCGCCGGGTGGTGACTCGCTCCGCGTCTTGCCTTCTCCTCCTGGCTTATTTCGCTTGGCTTTCCGTCTCGAGGCGATCCTGTCGCAGCCCTCCTTTTTAGGCGACTCTGCCAGGTCTCCCATCTTCAGATGGGGACACTGAGCCAGAGAGCGGTTCAACGAAATTGCCAGTGACAGGGCGAGAGCAGACGTGGAGCCGGTCGCTGCTCATGCTGCCTCGCCGACTAAATTCTCCTCTGTGGCTCGGGGCATCGCTCTCCATCCACGCCGGGCGCGCCTGCTCACCCCGCTCTGCGCGCGGTACCACCAGTATGCGCGCTGTCAGTCTGGACCGCGCTGCTCCGCTCTGCCGCGCTGTCACGTCTGGGCGACGATCACCGTCTGGGCGGCCTGTCCTGTCTGCAGGAAGTGCTGCCTGTCTGGGCATGTCACTGTTGGTGCTGTCATGTCTGGCTGTCACTGTTCTGGTAGTGCTGTCACTGTCTGCGCCTGTCACTGATATGGGTGCATGTCACTGTCTGAAGACTGTCACTGTCTGGGTGCTGTCACGTCTGGGTGATGTCTCAGTCTGGGAGTCTGTCAATCAGATTGGCACTGTACTGTCTTGGGTGCTTGTCCTGTCTGGGCGCTGTACCGTCTGGGCCTGTCACCGTTTGGGCTGTCACCGTCTGGGTAGCTTGTGTATTGGCGCTGTCCGGTCTGGGCGTGTCACTCTGGGCGGCTTTCACCACGTCTGAGAACGCGACTGTCACACAAAGTCTGGAGATGATAAAGATAATAGAGATAGAAGATATAGAGAGAGATAGTCGCGTCTGGCTCGGACAACCAACCCACTCATGTCACAAGTGTCTGGCGCTTACCGTCTGGGCGGCTTGTCCCGTTGGGCGACTGTACGTCTGGGGGCTGTCCCGTCTGGGGACTGTCACGTTCTGGGCGGCTGTCAGTCTGGGGCTGTCACCCTCTGGGCGCTGTCCACGTCGTTGGCGGCTGTCCCGGTCTGGGCGGCTGTCAGCCGGTCTGGGGCGCGTGTCACGTCTGAGGAGGAGTGTCACCGTCTGGTGCTGGGGCTGCAAGCGGAGATCAGGCAAGGAGTCTCACGCTGAAGGACGGCATTGGCAGCTGCCATGACGAGCTCTCAGACGGGCTCTCTTGTTTCTGTGCTGTCCAGGTCCCTGCCTCCGGCGTGCAACGGTGATCTGTGCTCCAGGGCCTGAGTCCTGCGGCAGGCGGACTGTCCAGCCCGAGGTCCTGAGGTACGCCTTGGCGGCTCCAGGCCCGCCGCTGCGAGGCTTCATCTGCTCTGCGGCCCCAGGGTGGCCAGCCGCCGCCCCACAGCGCAGGGTCTGGAGATGATGGAGCTGCCGCCCGCCGCCAGGGAAACGGGATCCTGTCCCCGAGACCGGCACTAGGCGAGCCGGCAAATCCCCGGAGAGCCTCTCCGCAAGGGTGCGCTGCACACGGTGTCCGGGCGTGGCCGGCGCGGCCTGCTGCTGCCTGCTGACGTCGAGTGAGCTGAGGCCATGGGAGAGGCGCGCTCAGCTCTTTCTGCTCTTCCGCGAGCGCTGCCAAGTTCGAGCTCTGTCGACCGCCGCGTACATGCCGAGACCTGGACGCTGGAGAGCACGGGCACCCGTGCGCCAGGTGACACGCGCGGCTGCTCCGCCCCGGTTGCCCTGGCGCCGAGCACATCCACGCCAGCCACCCCCGTGTATTCCCGCTGGCATCCGCCACCCACCTGTGGTGGCCCAGTCCCCCACCAGCCCTCCCCCACCAGCCCTCCCCCACCACGGCCGTACTCTGCCGGTGCGCTTCGTGCTGTGGGCAAGCTGGCTCCCTGCTCTGACGACTGCGGACAAGTGGACATGTCACATGCTCCCCCACGGGCGGACACTCCGTGCTTGGGCAGTGCTGGCTCCTTTCCTCTCCCCGCCTCCGTGCCCTCCCAACGATGGCCCATCGCTCTTCCCCGCTGCCCATGCCCTGGGTATCTGGGCTGTGACATGAGCGTCATCTACGTTCCCGTATAGGTACAACTATCGGGAAGCCCCTGTCGGGGGCCTTGCCTCAACCATAGACCCGTCGCCCCGGCGTGGGGTCCATACACCAGAGCGCTGGGCACCACCGTGCTAAGCAACCACCACGGTGAGCGCAGCGAGACGTCCCGCCGGCACCCAGGGTCCGAGACATTCGTTTTCACTTCTACGAACGAGTTATGTGTGTGTGTGGGGGGTCTCTTCTGAGGGTCAAAAACTTCCTCGCGGGCTGAACATAGAAATCCTAGACGCATACAGGCAAAAACATAAAGATTGCTTCGCTCTCGTAAAGGCAGAAGCACACCTGATGTTTCCGGGTGTTTCCTCCAGGTTTGCTATGTTAAATTTAAAAAAAATATATAGATGAATGAATCTCTATAGCCGCTCTCGGGAGGCTGAGGAGGGAGGGATCGTTTGGCCCCAGGAGTTGGGCAGCCTGGGCATGTAGACGCCCCCATCATCTGAAAATATTGTAAAATAGTATTTTATCTGCAGATACAATCGCGCGTGCACGCGTTCACCCCACGAGAGGAGTGCACAAGCAAAAGGAATAGTTTCCAGTATAGTCACAGGTCTTTCCCTTTGCAGGACGCACCGAGACTGTACTGAATACTCGTTGCATTCAGCCCTGCCAAGTTTTTGAGCTGCTTTTGGGTGCTTCAGGCTGGCAATGTGGCAGTCCCCTTCCTGGAGATCTTTTCTCCTGCAGTGCTGCCATTAACCATTCTCGGCTGGTTCCTCCCAGTCCCCCAAACTCTTTCCCCGTTCTCTTTCCGCCAGGACCATCGTTACTCCAAGGAGTGGAACCCTGGGCCCACCAGTCACGTCGCTGCTGCCGTGGCACCGGGGTATCCAGCCGTGCTCCCCTGGGCGCCACAACTGGTGGCCTTTGTCTCGTTCTCTTCCATTTGTCGAGTCATCATCGTTGCAATAGTTGTTTCTGGACGTGGAATCAGTGCGCCGGCCGGGGAGGGGTGCTTGCGAGAGGGGCGGCAGGGGCGTTCTGTGCGCCCTGGGGCGGGGCCAGGCATGGTTCACATGTGACCCGCCCTGCTGGGCTGAGGGGCTTGTGCCAGCCACGTGCGGCGCCCTTGTCCCCTTCTGCCAGTGACCACGACCCCGTTTCCGGGACGCTTGCGGATCACGCGGACCCTCTGCAGCACAGTCCCATGAGGCGTGCATTTCTTGGGTCCGGCTACGAGCTGTGTCTGACAACTTGTGCGTGGGACGCCCCCGAGGCTGCCCAACACCACGTGAGAACGGCCAGCGTTTTTTACCCCCTCCAGATCCTTCGGCTCAGGACTTCGCATCCTGCGGAGGACATGATCCGGCGGAACGCGCCCGCGCCACCAGCAATGTCTCTAGTGATCAGTTTGTTCCAATTTGTTTTATTTTCAGTCCATTTATCTCTAGCCTTTCTCACAATGGCTGGGAAATATTGGACTGTTAAGATTTTAGATGCACAAAACACAATATTATTGGTTGAGACTCTAGGAGAGGAAGTAGAGAAGGAATCAGAACTAGAAGAAAAGGTAACCAAATTACAATAATTATGGATACAGCTAAGGAACACTAAAATACGCTGAATGCAAATACAGACAGAAAAGGACGACATGGTACCATGATGAGATGCAGACAAAAAGGAACAAGGCAAGGATAAATAGACATATACCAAAAACACAAGGCACAGAGCAACCAAGCAATCAGTCTGCAGGAACAGAGGAGATATCTCAAGTACATATAAGAAAGACACAATGAGGCCACACCACGATACATACCATGAATGAAAGAGGGAAGAGGGCAAGCTCCTTGACCTCCGACACCCCCTGCCTCGCTCCTTGCAGCGTCTCAGCCCGAGGGCCTGCCTGTCCCCAGGCTTCTTTCCGCTTACACCCAGCACATTCCGGGCCACCTCCGCAGCACTACAACCACCCTGCTCGTGGCATTCCCAGACGCACCCTCAGAGATGTGGCAATGTGTGGTCCCATTTGGGGAAGCTGTGGAACAGTGAGAGCTCAGCCATGGAGGCCTGGGTGCTTACTCACCAGTCACCTGCTTTAGTGGCAGTGTGGAGAGGCTCCTTCCTCTGCGGTACAGTCCTAATCCTCTCTTCTGGATGAAGCCCCCATAGGCTGGTTCTATGGGGTATGCATCCTTACCTGCAATGATTAGGGCAGGGACACTGCAGGGCATCCTGGCGGACAGTTTATGGAGCAGGGTGGAGCTCACTGGGGATGGCTTGAGGTGGTCAGAGGAACGCATGGTCTGTTGACATTAGCAGAGACGGGGCAGCACAACCAGCCAGGACCGACAGGGGGACAGCCTGTAAGCACTGGGTGTTGTTCGCTCTAGGAACGGCGTCCTGCGGAGTTTGTGCATCTTGTACTTACTGTGCATAGCTGCCCCCCACGGGTCAGGGAGGAGCAGAAGGGCAGCTCAGGGGTGCGATAGTTTTCAGAGCTGTGGAGAGAGGGGAATTGCAGAATGAAGAGCCCTGAGGCTTGGGAACTATGAGGGAGGACCAAGCCAGGCACATAGACACCCCTGGTGGATTTTCTCTCGCAGATTAGTTTTT